ATCTCTAGACCGAAGTCTATTGATACGGACCTTAGACCTATATCTCTAACGGCAGTGTTGAGCAAAATTCTTGACTCTTTTGTTTTCAACTGGCTTGCACCTATATTGTTATGCCATACATCGATCCTTTCCAGTTTGATAGTGTGAAAAAGTCTGCAACCACTCGCGCCCTCGTGCATTTAGTCCACTACTGGCTCTCTGCCCTGGAAACGCCTAACACCATTATCCGAACCTGTTTCATCGATTTTTCCAAAGCGTTTGATCGAATTGATCATAACATTCTGATGCGCAAGTTACAGCTTCTCAATGTTCCACAGGTCCTATTTAACTGGTGTTCAAGTTTTGTTCAAGGCAGACAGCAGCACGTCAAATTAAAAACTTGTAAGTCTGAGTGGAAAGAAATAAAAGCTGGAGTTCCGCAAGGTACCAAACTTGGTCCTCCGTTCTTTCTTATAATGGTCAATGATCTGTCCAGTGAATTGCCTTTGTACAAGTATGTTGACGATTGTGCCATCTCGGAAGTCGTTAGAGTATGTGAACCGGATCTACCAAAATTACAGCAAGAACTTGACAACGTGACCCAGTGGTCAAGTGCGAACAACATGAAGTTGAACGTTAAAAAGCTAAAGATTTCACCCGGTCATTTTTGATCAATCAACCCTTGGCGCAACCCTTGATTGTCAATAACCAACCCCTGGAGGCTGTTAATACCATCAAGCTCCTGGGGGTAAATTTGACCTCCGATCTTAAGTGGACTACACACATCAGGCACATATCGTCCAAAGCAAGCAAACGTCTGTACGCTTTAAGGATGTTAAGAAGAAATGGTGTCCAACCGAGTGATCTTAGGACAGTATACTGTAGTTTTATTAGACCTGTCTTGGAATATGCGTGTCCAGTCTGGCATACCTCGTACCAAAGTTCCTGACTGATGAATTAGAGCACATTCAGAGACGTGCGCTCAAAATTATTGTTCCCCCCTTGTCCTACTCCGAAAGCCTCAAAGACCTAAAGTTGCCCACTCTCGAGGAGACTAAGGGAATTGTTATGCAGATCTTTTTACAAAAACAATTATAGTGACACTTCGAGCAAAATTTTTAATATATTACCTCTCACTCTTTAAAACCCGAACTAAACGCTATAATGATAGTCTTTTGCCATATTTCGTACGCAAATGGAACTCTTTTTAACCTTTTAGGCTTCTATAGATTAATATATATTCAATTTGTAAATTAGCAATCCTCCGTTATTGTAATTAGTATTACCAGCGTATCTATAATCTGTATATACGTATTTTGTTCTACTATTTTTAAACTATGTAAACTTGTGTTTTTCAGTTCGATTTTGAACTGCCATTCAAGTATTTTTAATAAATCTAATCTAATTGAAAAATTTTCGGTCGGAACGCTGCCACTTATTAATGTTTAACACTTATTAATATTCGTATAAAGAGCTTTTTATTCTACGACGTCATGTAGTCATTGTGCCATGTTGCATTTGAATATCAAGCGCAAATATCAACTCAAACTTATTTGTTAAAATGCAATCTGGCTTGAAATGGAGCTCGCAGACATAGAGATTGCTCGCCTCGATAAGTTTCATTAACTCTGCCGTTATATCCCTTGTTCGCAATATTAGTCGAAGCTATTCTTCTCTTGCTTTTGTCTTCAATGCAACAGTATGTTCGCTGTCGTCGTCGCGAGTAGCCGGTATTTGAACAATGAAATCTTGGCTTGTTGGACAGCCAAAAAAGGCGCAATTACGCCCAGGCATGTATTTAAAACTTAAATTTCAATATATAATTCAAACAGCGCCAGAACAGAGTAATTTTCTCGAAGAGATTGTAGAGCCGATTTGTGTCGCTGTATATAGCTATAAATATCGACGTGTTGAGTGATGAACAGTTCCCATCACGTGACACTTATAAACAATAAATAATAACATATTTGTCACGTGACCCAGCTAGCATAACCATTTAGGTCTATTAACCGTGTTGCAAGCGATCGCTGTCTTGTCGAACGTATTTCAGCACTTAGCGGCGCATGGTTATCTGCAAGAGATCAATACGAGAGATCGATCTTACATATAGCTGCTGCCAATGAAAATACAATACTCGTTCGCGCTTTCAGTGTATTCCGGAGCGTTTATCAAAGAGAGATAAAGATCGGATGCAAATTAGCCCGCGTGCAGGCCCAAGGGAAGAATAGTGGGCCTGCAAGCAAGGCCCGGTATTTTTTACTTTCCGCGTTCGCCCACGAACGCGGCATTCTGCTTGGCTGACAGCCAATGGCTGTTTGCAGTTGGATTCTATAATTAGATCAGTGATTCATCACAAAGGCTCTCGATAAGCTTAAAATTCGAAAATTGATCACTTTTTTCGATTATAAATGGAACAAGAACAGAATGTTTATTGTTTACTTGAAGGAAGAGATGTTTTTGCCGTTATGCCAATGGGGATTGCTTGTCGTGAAGTGTTGGAATAGCAACATTACGACAGCCGGGGTAAACTATAGTAACCTTTACTTGAGTTTCATTAATTTCAAACAGACTTGATACGTTATATGTTCCTCAAGAAAACTATCTTTTGGTTGATGTTGACTCTGTTCTTGCACTGAAGAAAACAGCGCTTTTCGCGGTGAAGATTTAGAGGCAGTTGCATGTAAGCCTATTCGAAACACTTTGCGACTTGCAAAACTTCGCTGAGAGAGCGAAACAGAAGAAGGTAATTGCCGTTTGAAACGAAACGATCTGGACTCTGAACGCTCTCTTCTTTTGTAGAGTTCTTTACCAAATGAAATAACTGAAATAAATTTCGTACTTTCTGCCGCCACCAAGAATTGCACACACGATCTGATAAGTGAGACAATTTATTTATAACAATGGCGACAGCGAAGCACACATTTAAATGCCAATGTTGAAGTTTGAGACTTGTTTTCTGTTGAAATTCGTCCTAATTTGCCTGTTCCGATTTTAGTTGAAAATAAGCACTTGCAAATTTGGCAATTACTGACCTTTGCTTGCTTTTTTGGAGTTAAAACGCAGCCATTTACACATTGTTAGCCCGCGTGGGTTTAGGAAATGCAGCAATTGGACCCACAGTGATGGTCCTTGTGCAGGTTCAATGATGTCTTGTTGTTGCAATCGGTCATGTTTATATTCAACTTTCTTGCGTAAGGCAAATGGCATTCGTCATGCATGTTGGTTGCACAACAGGTTTGACATTTTCGACTCTTGGTTAATTGTGTAGGTTAACTTGAACATCAATTTTCCAACATCATGGAAGACTTCATCATATTCAGTGATGATATAAGTTTTAAACAAGGTGGAATTTTGCATTCATAGCTAATATGCTGAAGGCAGGTTGCCTATTTATCTGATTAACATTAATTGTGAGAAAGTTTAAGTCAATGGCAGTTTTTCCGCTCAAATTTAGGCAACCATGCAGTGGCATTCTTGACAAATATTAATTTGATCGTTTCTTTGATTCCAAAACATACAGGAATGGTCCGAGTACTGGAAATGGTGTTGTTCTACCGAAGCCCAAAAGACGCTTCTTGTACTTTGTCAGGCATATCAATGGGTTTTCCTTTCGAATCGTGGAGAAGGTAGATTCATCAATGATGTTGGCTAATGGTATACACTGTAAAAACTGATTGGTTAAAATGACCAATTTTTTAGGTTGCAACCATTGGCAATTGGTCATTTTGACCAATTGTTTAATTAGTTAGCCGCATTTGACCAATTAAATTTGGTTCCTTTGACTATTACAAATTGGTCGAAAAAATTGGTCATCTTTCGACCAATTTATATAAGTTATTATAACCAACTTTTTATTGGTCATTTAGTTGAGTGTTCACTGTTAATTTCAGAGTTATTTCAACTCCACTGAGAATTAAAAATTGGGAGTGAAAATCAGTTTGAAGTTAAATTTACTCGGCCTACGTCTTCGACTTCGATATATGCATTCGAACATATACTCCACTGAGGGTCAATTTAACTCCGCTTATTTTACTCACACACAGAATAACGGAGTAAATTTTACTCATAATCAAAATAACCGAGTAAATTTTACTTCATATTTTTTACTTCACAATTAATCGTATAGTAGGAGTAAAAATATCGAGTAATATTCCGCCTAGTTTTTACTCGGCCTGTGTAATATAACTCGACCATTACACATAGGAATCCATAGGAATGGCCGAAACTATATTGAAGTTTCTTCAACCTGTCCTTGAATTAGGGCGATATTTGCTATACAAATTTGTATAGTGAAAGCCTGCAGTTCGTGTAAAATCATCCGACAAAGACACAAGATCTAGCTGGTTGACGCGCTTTTTCGTAAATGTTGCCAAGTCAGATTGCTTTTAATATTACCAGTATCGGCTTGTTATTGTTCAATCGCGCGCGACGATCGAGTTTTTCTCGTCAAATTAATTTACTGTCATTGCTCTCAGTATATCAGTTGTTTATTTTTTATTTGCTGCGTAAATCTATAATTTGAACTTGTGGAATGTCCTGCTGCTGAATTCTGCTGAATATAATTTGCGCCAAGTGGAAGTTCCAACGTTTCAACCAATTACCATGCTTAGAATATATCACGTGTTGTAGTAATTCAATCTTTTCACACCAGCGCGCTAAGTTCGATCTTTGGGAGCAAACATTCAAACAGGAAAGGAAAGATTTATATTCAAATTTTCTGCTTATAAAGATCGAAAGACTTAATAGAACACAAGGAGATTGTTTTCAAAGGTATGTCTCTTGTGTATTTACTTATTTGTATGCGGGTAGTTACTTGACAGACTGTGTAGTTATATTTTTAAATCGAAGGCCTGTATTTTATAGTCGCTTTGTGCCGATTTTACGAAGGCATCTAAACGTTCAGTTGTAAATTTCGATTTACATAACAGTCTCTATTTATCTGTATTGTTAAGAAAATCGTATACGGCTTATTTCTGTGATATACATATGTGTTGGTCTGTTAATTATTTGCTATGTTAACACTTGACATGTACCGTCGATTGCAACTAAGCGGAAACACGTCATGAGAAAACGCGATGTAATTGGACATGAAACATAACATGTTTGGACTTCAAACTTTACATGATTTTGCTGGAAACATTTGACGGTTTAGAATTATTTTTCCCGCGAAAACGTAACAAAGTTAGTACAAACATTGCAAACAATACTGAATTTGTCAAAACTCACAAATTTACAGTATGTTAGAACTTCACTAAGGCCTGTTTCATACGTCGAATTTAATTCAGACGAATTTAATCACGGATTTAGTGTTTGCAAGATAATTCCCGCCCAATATGAATGTGTTTCTAAATTTGGAATATTGACAGTTGACAGTTGAAACGTAAATGTTTGCAGTAAAATCATGTGACGTTTGAAGTCCAAAGAAATCATGTTTGTCAGCCAATTGGACGCGTTTTCTCATGACATGTTTCCGCTTAGTTGCAATCGACGGTATACTTTTATAATAATGTGATTTGTTTGAAATATGCATAATTACACTATTAACGAAGGGCCTTCATAAATTTCGAAAGTCGATCGACTCGAGTTGTTTTTTAAGGTAGTATTTTTACATTGGTACTACCCACACTGGTAAAGACAGTTTTAGTATATATTCACATTAATATCATGTAGACAGCCTTTCCCAATGTGTGGCTCTATCAGTCAGCCACTCAGCCTAAAACATGTGCAATGGGCCGCTTATATAAAGGCAAGCCAGTTCAGGTAACTAACCTGGTTATAGCCCGCTTTCACTGGATGAATGTCTGTTTACATGAGCCTCTTTAGATGAACATGCTTGCCAAAACAAATCACCCAGACTGAGTTGTATAATTTCCAATAAAATAAATTGACATACTTTTGCAGACAGTTTTGAAATGTAACTTACAAAAAAAATCAGAGAGATCTTTTAATCCATTGAGCCACAATGCCCCCCAGTATGCCCCACTTATCCCTTTTGCTCGCTTAACGCCAGACGCTTTTACTCCTCAGTAGGGAAGCTCTGCAGCTTAATGGGTTAACCAAAAAATCTGACAATGTCTCTAGTTAACCCATTGAGCCGCAATGTTCCCCTAGTGCGACCGACTTATTTTATTTACTTGTCTACCGCCAGCAGTGGTGTAACTTCACTTTTTTGACCACTTGCCCTCAGGAAGCTGGTCATAAAGATTAGTTGCTCTGAATAAAATTCACTTGCCATCAGACAATGGCTGCTTGGGATACCTAGGTAGGGGGTATAAATTAAGGGGACAACTTGTCAACCTGTTCTCCCACTGCGCCATATGGCTATGTTATACTGCCTCAGATATAACTTTGGTGCACAAAAAACGAAATTTGAACCAAGTCCATGCACTATAAAACAAAATATATCTGACAATGAATAGTACTAAGGCAACTTGCCCAATCGGGCAGCAAGATAAAGTGTTTACTTGCCCATCATGATATTCACTTGCCCTAGGCAAGTGTTAAGTTACACCTCTGGCCAAATGATTTTACTCGTCAATGGGGAAACTCCAACTCTACAGCTTAATGGGTTAATATTCAAATTGATTGGGAAATTTCATTTAGAAGATTAAATTATGCCTAAACAAAGCATGAATACTGTGCCAAATCCCGGGTCATTGTATATAGTTTATATGGAAAATCTTAGTTTGGCATTAGCAACATTTTGGGTCAATTGTGGCAGTATCTTAAGTTTATTTATTTAGCTTTGCCAACTAAGTGTCACCACAACAGCATGTGCCAATTACTGTTGGCTCTTTTACATCACCCACCCTGTCAACTTTCCCTGTAGGAGGAAACCAGAGTACCTGGAGAGAACTCATGACTTTCGACAGAGTGTTCACCAGTGAACTCTAAAAATAACTGGAAGGCTAACTCCTATGATGAAAGTCTATGATTCGTTGAAGCCGGCGCGCGGAAAATTAACTTCCAAAAAGACTAAGGAGAGTTTCGAGGAGTGAAAAAAATTCTGCCCAAAGTTTGTTTTCGAGCAAAAATTTGCAAGAAAAACACTTTTTCCATGGGAATACAACAATGATTGGGATTTAAACCAGGTTTTCCGATTAGTTCCAACTGTTTTACATCTTTCTGCAGCAAAAAGTAAGGAGTTTTGCTTTTGTATTTTGAAAAAATGACGAAAGTTTGGACGTGCCGAAGGAAACCTCGCCGTTCAACTCAAAAATATATACTATAAAACATTTTGACAGTCCCAAAATTTATGTTGTACTAAACCCTAGGTATTGTTATTGATCCTGAGCTTTTAGTCCTTGTTTTAGTCGCTTTTAAACATAAATAAATTGGCGTTTTTCAAGTGATGTTATTTTCGTCATCGGCATCTTGTTGGCCACTATGAGCATTTTGAATATGGCAATATTTTTGTCAATTTTCAAATGCTTTTTTTTCGACCTTAAAACGTTCAATCTTCTTGAAACTTCGCATACAGATGTATTTTGCATGGGTTTAAATAATTCCTGAGGTATGACGTCTTAGTTTTATCTTAAACTTCCAAAAACTCAGAAAAAGCAGCCTAAAACGCGCGGTTTTTCAGACCGTTCATGCTTATGGTCGTGTTTTTCGCATTTTTTTGCTAATTCGTGATTTGTTTGCTTTGCGAATATTAAATTCATTTATAATACTACTGATATAAATTAAATTTGGTAGTATAACTAATATTTTGGGGCAAGATTTTTCTGATCCAAAAATGTGCATATTTTAAAAAAAAAAATTAAAAAGGACTGGGTCTACCTACAAAAAAAGCTTCAAGCACGGCTTCAACCAGGGCGCTTATATAGAGCTCTATATAAGCGCCCTGGCTTCAACTTCCCCCCCTGACTTAGCCTTCCAG